GTGTGTGTGTGTGTGTGTGTGTGTGTGTGTGTGTGTGTGTGTGTGTCTGTGTGTGGTAGGATCACTAATTCATTAATAACTAAAACATCTGGCTAATCAGAAGAAAAATATGGATAAAATCATCGCTGCTAACTAATTATTAGGTATGAAATAGAAACAAAGTAGTAAATATTCCATATTGATAATATAAAAATATTGTTTTTAAATAACTCAATGATTTCTAGATAGAGTTTGTGGTTTATATTCATCTATTTTCTTTAAGAAAAGCCTTTAAAAGCATTCAAACCCAACATTCTGTGACATTTTAAAACATGTGCTCCCGTACGCTCACAGAAACCCATGAATGCACCGTGGAGCAGGCGTGCACAGCACCGGTGTGTTCTGAAGGCCACACAAACACGGTGCAAGCTGGCAAAAGGTCAGAGGAAATGCTTAKTCCCACAAACACACTCAGGAGAGGCTGCACAGCACTTAAGTGGCCACTTTCACACGCAGAGGCCAATGTCAGGAGCTTAGCTGGCCTCGAGGARAATTTTAGTAAACGCTGCCATCCTGGTTAGTTAACTTGTGTCAGAAACACAGAGAAGAAGCATCAGTTGAAGTCTGAAATGTCAGAAACGCTTCGCTTTGAAGTCTTTGTGTCAAAGAGACGACTTGTCGTTTGGAAGAAGGGATTAGTTTGCGCTGTTTATTGGAGTCTGCATTTTCAGTGAGGCATTTTAAGGGGTTTTCGCTCCTGAGTTCCAACACTGACACAACATTTAAGAACCTCAGCATCGCACCAACACAGCTAATGTGTTACATAATCCTAACAGAAAGCACCGATGATGCATTTATCAAAGGCTGCGTGGTTCACGGAGCGGCCCCGCCATTCAGCGCACCTTTCCTCTGGACTTGTCTGCACTGGAAGATGGTTTAACATCTCTGAACTTGCTGAAATTGGGAAAATATTATAATATCATTTTGTACTGGAAAAAACCGAAAAGATGTACAAACCACAAGCAGGAAAGTGAGACAAAAAGATAAAAAATGAAGCAAACAGCATACAAACAAAACCCCACATGAGAAACCCATGGTTCTGTTGACCTAAACGTCACCCACGGCTAGCTGATCATGTTTAAAGAATCATCATTTAAACAGATATATGGGGTGCCGTTTGTAAAGTTACACAGTCAAAAATTACCACCAATATTTTTGTTTTATTTAGCTTTTCATAAGAAAAAAAATAACAGATTTATTTTTCAAAGTCAGTTTTTCACCATATGATTCATACACTTATAAATGTCATAGTTTATAAACTA